CACCCCGCGTCCGTGTTATCCGTCTGGGCTGGATGGTGGCCTGGGGGTCGGGCGAGCCTCCCCGTCCCCCAGAGGTCACACGCCCAAGCCAGGCCCTGACTCAGGGATGGCGGCCTGGCCGCCCAGGGGCGGATGCGGAGCCGACTCATCACTGCCCTCTCCCCGCCACCGCCACCCGCCATCCTGTGTGATCCTGGGCCTCTCAGATCACTTCCCTTCTCAGAGCCCGGGCTTTCTCAGCCGGTGAAGGGGCTTAAAAGTCGCCTCCTTGGATGCAAGGGGTGTAGTGAGATTTGCTGGTGTGGAGAGTGTGTCAGGCGGGTGTGCCAGGTGCTGGGTGGCAGTTGTCTGAGCAGCTGCTGTACTGAGAGAGAAAATGACGGAGCCCAGCCCTCTGTAGCCAGTGGGTGGGGCGGGAGGTGGTTCCAGGACTCAGGAATGAGACAGGCATCGCCGTACCATAGGGGAAGCAGAAAAAGAGAGGAGGGAAGAGCTGGCTGGAGGGCCAGCCTCACCTTCAGGGTGGGTGACTGGCAGGGTCCGCCTGGGTTGTCAGTCTGGGGCCGAGGACGAAAACGCAGGTTTTTCCTGCGTTTACCTGCATGTGTACACACTTTTGACCCCAAGTACAAGTGGCCAGACCACTTTTCCCTGACCCCATCCCCACCACCCTAACCTGGGGTCTCCGTTCCTCTTTGCTGAACTGGGAGAGTCTGAGTCACCAGCTGGGAATGTGGCCCTAGGGGGAGAGGAATACCAGCCGCGGGCACTGAAGGCACGTGCTGCCCCAGACTTGGTGCCACAAGGGCTGGGTGCCAAGGTGGGCGTTCACACACTGGGGGAGTGCAGTGATGCGGCCCTGCCCTGCAGGGTGGGGAGCCACGGTCTCCACAAGCGAGAGTTTGGCCCTGGCTGTGTGAATCGCCTGTGTGCTGATGGCAGAGTGAGGGTACAGGTGGGGCCTTTGCAAAGGCTTGGAGGGGGGAATCCCCCCCCCCAGGCCTCCAGTCAGAGCGTGGAATGCTGGGTGAAGGAATCTGAGCAGAGCTAACCACAGTGCCGGGTGCTGGGCTCTCACCTGAAACAAGCCAGTTTTGTCCTGGCCCTCCTGGGGCCCAGAATCCAGTAGGATAGACAAATCTTAGGCCAACACTTTTGTCACAGGGGGGCTTTTATTAGTCCCATTCTATGGGTGAAGAAATTGAGGTGCAATGATGAAATGACTTGTCTGTGTTCTCACAGCTGGTGAGAATTGGTTCTGTGGCTCCCCAAAGGCTCCCATGGGCTGGAGGAGCCATAGAAGGTGGTGAGCAGGGGCTCTGTGCTTCACCGTGACATCCTTCCCCCAGGGCGGCTACTTCCCTGAGAATGTCAAGGCCATGACCAGCCTGCGATGGCTGAAGCTGAACCGCACTGGCCTCTGCTACCTGCCCGAGGAACTGGCTGCCCTGCAGAAGCTGGTAAGGGGCTTTGGGCAGGCAGGGGAGGGTCCCTGTGGATAAGCCAGATGGGCAGAGCCTGTGGAGAAGGCAAACAACTTCTCCAGAGAGAGGAATAACACTGACAGCTGTGAGCACAGCTGGAAGAAAGGGAGTGGGCACCCTGTCCAGGGAGGTATGCAAGAAGAGGCCGGGTCCGTGAGGGAGGGAGGCTGCAGGGGGAATTGGGCCAGCGTGGCTGAGGCCTTCCTGGATGGTGCAGAGTTGTGGAGGCAGGCGGGGACTCTGGACACCCCATCCACCGTACTGAGCCTGTGCTCCCCATTCCGGCCCAGGAACACTTGTCTGTGAGCCACAACAACCTGACTACGCTTCACGGGGAACTGTCCAGCCTGCCGTCACTGCGCGTGAGTGCTGGCCGGGAGGCCACCGGGCTTGGGGTTGGGACCAGGGTCTGGCCGGGGACATGAAGCCTGGGCCAGACGCCAGGCTGGGCCAGCATCTCTGCCCACCTCCGTGTCAGGCTCAGAGGCTCAGGTGTCACAAGAGGGGCCCCCTTGTTAGAGGTTACAGCAGTGCCCTGCGTAAAGTAACCCATGTGGATCAGAGAATTCTCTCAGGAAAAAGAGAAATCCAAAATCTTACCAGCCATTATGGACAATAACTACGGTAATAATAACCAATACAGGCTGAGCCATGTTCCCATTATTCTGTTAGGATTTTTTCATATGCTCTAACCCTCCACTAATGTTGCGGAAGAGAAACTTGGCCACCAAGGCAGATTACTTGCCCCAGGAATCTGCCAGGCAGTGGTAGAGCTGGGGTTGAGTAGGGTTTGGCCAGGAGCACCGTGTACCTTCTACCCAAGACTTGAACGTCCCAGGGCATCAGGCCCTTGGCCAGACCCTGTAGGCCTCAACAAGGGCCGTTCTCATCTGAAGTCAGAGCCCTGGAGATGTTTCGGGCACAGCTTCTCACTTGGACTCTCTGAGTTCAAAGCTGGGCTTTGCCACTTCCTGGCGATGTGACCTTGTACAAATCCCTTCTGCTTTCTGCATCTCATCTGCAAGTGCAGTGGTTGGGAGGGGCAGCAGTGACCTCGGGAAGCAGCAGCAGGGTGCCACACAGGCATTCGGACTGGAGAAGTGGCGGGGCAGTTCCAGTGACTCCCGTTGTCACTTGCAGTCACAGCACCATTCTCTGGCCCTGTTCCCTCTCACGCTCAAGCTTTCTGCATCTCTGTAAGGTGTAAGGAGGTGTCAGCCTTAAGTTAGGGAGAGAAAGCAGACTTCCTCTCAGTCCAGATGCTGATTTCGAGTTCTCTCCCTCTGTTCTGAAAACCCTGACTCAGACCTTATCCCTATCTTACCTTCTGGCATTAAGAAGAAGAGAAATTGTTTGAACAGAAAAGATTCCCTGAGGGCCCTGTGCTGAGCTCCGGAGCACATTTGAGCTGGGCTTTGAGGTGTGAATAGGAGTTCACTGGGAGGCTAGTAAGAGCCCTCCAAGAGAGGGGGCTATTTGATCAAAGGCCAGAGGTAAGAGAGTCCTCAGGCCTGGCCTCTGGTGAGCCTCCTGAGGAGGTGTCCCTCTCTAGACTCTCTGTTCCTTTCTGGGAGTAGAAGCCAAGAATCATAGACTCTTATGGTTTATTCCCAGGCCATCGTGGCCCGAGCCAACTGTCTGAAGAATTCCGGAGTCCCCGA